ATAAGGGGTAACATCATTCGACGAATCATTAGAAACCCGTACGGATGCCTGATTGATATGGATGCCCCTGTCATTGATTGAAACAGATTGATGTCAGCAGAGTAACCAACAAACGAAATGCTCCATGCATTTTACATCATGAACTCCTCCGAAACTGGTGGGGGTAGGCTGGTTTGGTCGCGCATATTTCGAAGGTCACATCTTCATAGAAATCGTCAGGACGCAACGCTGATACGCCATTTGGGACCGTGGGCTGTTTCACATAAATGTGCCAGTATCACAAACCACTAACATGAACGAGCCCTTGCAATACTACCACAACTTAGCTGCCTTTTCGATCCGGTCCTGCTCCCCTATTAACGGCGCGGGACAAGGGTTTGTCACGGAATGGTTTCGGGTGGTGTACCTGAATGCGGACGCGGTAATGAAATACAGTCCTAACCACTGCTGTAGAAGTGTGTTCCGCTTCGCCCCCACACCAATCCCGAGGGATACACCTATCTGCGAGTCGAGTGTGAGCAACGGGTACAGATTTGAACGGCGGATGAAAAAGCGTTGACAAGTCTTAATCAGTCAGCCCGAACGCGACAAGTTTGAGTTTTGAGCAAACATGCAAGGAAATAACGCAACATAAGCGAACGACGAAAGTCATTCAACATTTGCAATTGAATTTACAATAAAAATATTTTATCAGGTTAGCGTTGGTGTACATTAAAAAATGACCGAATCAAGGAAAAAGCAATAGAAAAAAACCTATGATTAATATGATAATGAAGATGAGCATCATGATGATCGAGAAGAATAGGATGACGATGATGATGATGATGATGCTGATGATGATGATGATGATGATTAAGACGAAAATGGTGATAATGATGAACACGATGATCATGGATAAAGATAACAATCATGATGACGAGGATGATGAAGTAGGTGTTCATGATGATGATGATGGCGATGATTATGATGAAGATAAAAATGATGCTGATGATGATGATGACGAGCACGATGATGATGATGATGCCCAAGATGTTGATGGTGATGTTAACGACGATGATTATGATGATCATGGTGATGATGATTTTGATGACGATGATGATGACGATGATGATGTTCAAGAAGATGAGGACGTTGCTGATGCTGATGATGACGATGAATTTCCTTTTGATGATGTTGAAGATCATGATGAGGATGAGGCTGATGATGATGATACTAAGGATGATGACGAGAATGATGTTGAGGATGACTATGAAGAAGATAATGATGACGACGATGATGCTGATGATGGTGATGATGTTGACGATTAATATGATGATGAAGCTGAATAGGATGATGAGCATCATCATGATCAGAAAGACGATGACGATGATGAGGGGGAAGAAGAGCACTAGGATGATGATCATAGTGATGATGGTGATCAACATGATGTTGAATGATGATTTTGATGATGATGATGAGGATATTGGCGATAATTATGATGATGATGATGATGATGATGATGATGATGATGATGATGATGATGATGATGATTGTAATCATAATGGTGATGAAGAAGAAGATGATGACGATCGTAATGATGACGTTGATGACGACCTTGTTGATGATTATGTTGATCACGATGATGATAATGACGACGATGATGAAGGTGATGAGGATATTCATGCAGATGAGAATGAAGATGATGACGTTGATGATGCCGATGATGATGATGATGACGATGATGCTGCTGCTGCTGCTGCTAATGATGATGATGATAATGATGATGATGTTCTCATTAATTACGCTGATGAAGACGATGATGATGATGCTGTTGATGATGATGATGACGATGATGGTGTGGATCATGATGTCGATGATGCTAAAGATGATCATGTGGATGAAGATTTCAAAAGCGATGATATTTAGGTTGATCATGATGATGATGACGATGATGATGAACATGTCGATGATGTTGCTGATGACCGAGATAATGATGGCTATGACGAACAAGTCGATGATGATGCTGAACACGATGATGATGATGATGTCGACGATGATGAAGATGACTATGATGATGATGATGATGTTGTCGACGATGATGATGATGATGACGATGATGAAGATGAACACGATGCCGATGTTGATGATGATGATGACAAGATGATGATGATGATCCTGATTATAATGATGATGAACAGGATGTTGATGATAAGGTTCATGATGATGATGCTGTTTTAATGATTATGCAGATGGAGACGATGATGAAGATGCTGTTGGTGATGTCGATGATTATGATGATGATGTTGATGATGTAGAACATGATGATGATGATGATGATGATAATGATGATAATGTTGATGATGAGGACATTGATGATGAAGTTGATGCTAAAATGATGACAGTGTTGATGATGATGGTGATGTTCAAGTTCATGATGATGATATTGATGACGATGATCGTGATGACGATGATGGTGATGTTGATGATGATGTTGACAATGCTGATGATGGTGATATCCTTGAACTTGATGATAATGATGAACGTGACGACGATGAATTCGATGTTGTTTTTGAATATGTTGATGATGATGACGATGTGAATCATGATGATGTTGATGACGATGATGATGCTGATGACTACCATTATGAGGATGATGATGATGATGTTGATTATGATGATGATTATGACTACTAAGAAAATGTCGATGATGACGCTGATCACGATGATGATGATGACGTCGACGATGCTGTTAAAGATGACGATGATGACAATGATGATGATGATGATTATGATGACGATCATGAAGATGATCCTGATTATATTGATGATAATCAGGATGTTGATGATACGGTTCATGATGATGATGCTGTTTTAAAGATGATGCAGATGAAGACGATGATTATGTTGAAGATGATGATGTGGATCATGATGATGATGACGATGTCGACGATGTTGATGACGGCGAAGATCAAGATGAAGCTGATGATGATGAGGTTATTGAAGATGATGACCATAACGATGTTGATGAGGATAATGATTTTGATGAAGATGATGTTGTTGATGTTGACGGTGAAGACGATGGTGATGACGAAGATGATGATGATGTTGACGTTGATGATGATGATCACGTTGATGTTGGTGATGACGATGATGATCGTGTAGATGATGCTGATGACATTGATGATCGCGAAATGATGAAGAAAATGATGTCGATTTTAATGTCGTTTATGATGATGCTGATGATGATGATGACGTAGATGATGATGATTCTGATCATGATTATGATCCTGATGTTGATGATCACGTTGAAGATAATGATGATGATGTCGATGATGTCTTCGTTTATCATGCCGATGAAGGTGATTAGGATGTCGATGATGATGATGATGATGACAAAGATGATAATGAAGATGACGTTAAGAATGACGCTCATGATGATGATGATCATCATCATGATGTTGATGATGATGATAATATTGATGATGATGATAATGATGTTGATGTTTATCATGATGATAATGAAAAAGATGATTATGTTCACGTAAACGATGTTGATGAGGATGATGATGGTGATGACGATGGTGATGACGAAGATGATGATGATGATGGCGATGATGATGATGATAATGATGATGAAGATGATGCTGATAATGATGGTGATAATATTGATGGTGACATGGCGATGATTTTATTTCTGAGAGAATGTACACTGCGATGGGAATTCGTAGCATTGGTTATCTGTGATTGTGTTGCATTGTCACATGATTTTCATTTTCTGGAATGCGTTGATTGAGATTGATAAGGTACTACAGAATCCTGAAAAGTTTTGGTGCTTGTGCATTGCGGATAAAATTTATTACGGGTCATGAAAGCGGATGTGATGCATTAGGCGGTCACATTATTTGAAGTGATGTTATCCGATTGACTCGAACAACACCACATAAGTTATGATGTTCAAAGAGCGTGGAATCAGTATAAATCCCTAAAATAGGAGACGAGGACGAAAATGGAGAAAAATACATCAAATTGCATAATTAGGAGTGAATTTAAATTTATAACTCGTGCGCGACAACACAGGTCAGCTTTCGAAGGCGCGAAATATCTAACCTCAAATTTCTGACTTCAAGGAATAAATTTTACACGTGGTAGGACCACTCGAGGTCAGCAGACGAAAGCTAGAGAAAGAGGTACTACCAAAGATCATGCCAAAACTTTGGCTCCGATACGTTGATGACGCTCATCATCATGAAAAAGTCGCAACTGGAAAGAACACACAACATCATCAATAACACATTCAATGGCATCAAGTTCACACTGGAGACGGAGAAGGATAAACAACTGGCTTTTTTGGACATTTTGATCATCAGAACGTCATCAGGAAAACTGGAGACAACGGTCTACCCCAAAGCAACGTATACTGATCAAATTCTAAACTTTAAAAGTAATCATCTACACTGCCACAAAAGATGCTGTGTTCGGAAGAATCTAAACACACTGCGGCACCGACATACTCAAGAAAAAATAAGAAAGATACTTCTTTAAAGTGTTCACTTGCAACGGCTACACCCGCAACTTCATTAAAAGAACTCTAACCCAAAGACAGAAAGAAACAACAGACGGAGAATCTGGAACAAAAATTACCCTACCGAACATCAAAGACGTTTCGGAAATGACGGCAAGACTGCTCAGATCATACGGACTCCAAGTCTCCCACAGACCTACCGCCTGTCTAAGGAGACTTCTGTCAAAACCAAAGGAGAAGACAGTGGAGAAGTACGAGAGCAGTGTTATCTACAAAATAAATTGCAAGAACTGCTCAAAACACTAAATCAGACAAACTGGGAGAAAACTGTCCACAAGGATCCGTGAACACCAAGCGGCAGTCAGGAGACATGGCCCATTATCTTTGATTTTCCTCCACGAAGATCAAGAAGGACATCAATGTGACTTCGAATCCAAGAGAATTATCGACCAAACCCGGTCAAAACCCGCCAGGGAATTTCTCGAAGCTTGGCACTCCTTAATCAACTCAATCAACAGGCACATTGAACTGGATCACGTGTACACGCCAATGCAACTCAAGGATCAAATGACGCAACAAGAAAAGGTCACGGCGTGACCTGAGAACGGACGGAAACCGCAATCAGGACGGATGGACAACCACCTCTCCTACCAACCTCACCCCCACGCGTCAGTTTAACGGCGAACCCAGTCGAGCACAGTGGGAACAAGAGGCAACAATGGTCGGTGGAGAACACACATGAACGAACGGACACAAGGAAAAAACTGTCACTTCACAAGCACTAATGATGTCACCTCGGCTGGTGATGTAACATTTGCAAACAAATTGCCAATTGCTCGGCGAACAGGCGAAATAGAATTTAGTTCACCCGAGCTACGAGAACCAATTTTCAATATTTCTCAACACGACTAACACTATCAACTCACTCAGCTCCGTGACTTAGGACTTATTGGAAGAGGCTGGTGGAGGAGTTGTTCTTGAATGTAGTATCAACCATTACGTCTCTCGCATACTTTCAAGTACAAACCATGGGGTGAGTGATAAATGTTACATGTGGATGAAGAACAGAAAAGAGAATAAAATTCCACCATGCTTCTCACCTTGGCTTGCATATACCATTGAAGACCTAGCGCCATTAAGACGTGACTGGGAGCATCCAATAAGGGGTTGGAAGTCGTGTTTCTGTCAACTGACTGGAAACTTTCGAAATAGTCTAGAAAATAAATATGAACAATCTTGGGATTTTGGCCGATCAAGAACAAAACGGAATGAACATGACAGGCAACAGCATTTACGGTAGAACGCGGTTTGCAATAAGCTAACTAGTTAGAATGAAAGGGGTCAGTAGCAGAGGAAGCATCCATATTAGTACTGATACACTCAAATGCCTTTTGTATTGCCGTGCATGAAGTAGTTTACCGTGGCGACCCATTTCCTTGCCTACTATAGTGACTCAACTATCAAGCCATGTTCATAAGCGGGTCTACCGTCTGATAGATAATTATTGAAGATGAATGAATCAGTTTGGGTCAAGTGGTTCGCACATATGTTAAAACTACCACGTTGAATAGCCCGCCTAGAAGGGTGAAACTAAACGCTATTGACAGCATTCAGCTCGCGTAAAACTTGCTCTGCAGTGATAGTCGCAGGAGGATGCAAATTAAATGGCATTGTACTTTGTCCCATTCATGCTTGCCTAATAATGTTCACTGCAACAAATTGTATTTTTTCGATCAATGATGTCACACGAGGCTGTCATGAATCGAAGTGAACGACCAATGTGCAACTTCATTCCGTTAAACAGCTGATGGTAGGACTTGACTCCCAGTAAGTTTTTGACATGCACTTGATTTTCAGAGGTTGTTTAACTTTTGCCAATCAATTTGGACAAATGTGACTGACAACTAATCGCTTGAACGATGACAGTTCGTTTTCAGCCTGCTTAACCAATGCCGTCTATCAGAGACAAATCGGTTTGGCTATAGGTGACGCCTAGTTTGAGAATTCGGTACATCGTAAAAAAGTTAAAGTACAGTAAAAATACAGTAAAAGTAAAATACATACACCCCTAACTGTATTATCCATTTTATCCACACACATACACACACACGCATACCAACACAGACATTACTTACACCTACTCTATTTCCTTGAACTATATAATTTTGTGACCTATAAAAGATTGCTAGTAAATGAGGCACCGAAAACGAGCTTGTTTGCCCATATTGACTTTTTAAAATACTTTGATTTGAACTGACCATCCTTCAAACTTCACCTTCACGTACAATCACTAGTTGATCTAATCAGACATACCCGGAAACACTAGACTCCAGTTTTGTTCTTATTAGACCTCATCAGTAGTACATACCCACCGTCCTGTACGGGTATTGAACTCCAAGCCCATTGTATGGGAATCCAGTTAGTCTGAAACCAGCCTGGAAGATCTGATTTCGTGTGAGACATTTGATTGGAGTTAACAGATAGTCAACTGTGTCCCCCTTCGTGACTGTCGGGTCAACAATGGACCAAAGTGGACGCCGGAACAAACATGAGTTGTCCATTCGGTTCAACCCTGGTATGACCATGGTGGTAAGGGATGGGTTCGAAGTTCAGTTAAAGGACGGGAAGGTGGACATCCACTAATGATGAGCTCAAATAAGAGCGAAATTTGAGTCTACTGTTTGCGAGTAAACGATCAATTAAAAAGAGCTGCAGATTTTGCATGAAAGTGAAGTCTGAAGGATGTTCAGTTCAAATTAATATTCATTATCTCACACCACTAATCACATGTAACTGTGAATCAAAGGTGAATTCAAATAATTTACAAATTTTGCACAGAAAAATGAAACGTTGGAGTGAAAAATAATACGAAAGAACGGGCAAGCATAAATTCCGGTTTCATTAACTTTGCGGTATACGTTATTTACATGCACCTTACTTATAGAGGATTAGGTAGTTGCATTTTCCGTATACCTTGGAAAGATCCGTACTACCGGCAGCTATCAGAATTAACTGCCGGTGCCCAATTGGATCATTATAGAAAAGTGAAATCATCCCTGATGTAAAAGCTAAAGATCTTCTGGCATGATTGTGGAAAAACTAGCAGTTGCCTACAAAATCCGCAGTATGGTCGGGAGTGGGTGTCTACGGTTGCGGTTGGTCACCCTACCCTTGCACTTCGCGAAATTCTCCCACACGACCAAGCGTCTCAAATAGCCTCTGTTGAGGAAACCCTACTGACTGCCTTCTCGTGGCGGAGGTGTCTTCCCAACAAAGTGAGAGGACATAAAGTCGACATCTAGGTCTATAACTGGTTTGGTGGTCCACTGGCAGTTTACTCAGGGTTGTTGGCCGAAAACCCTGATTCCAAATCAACCAAGAGGAGGCGTACGAGCCACACCCATATCTTTCCGGTTGTGGCAGTGGTAACCGGTTCGATTGGGCATCGAGGTGTATTGGGTATCCTGGACGTTTGGCCCCGTCCAAAGGGCGTATGATCCGATGAATTGGACACCAATGGATTGCGGTTTTCGCAAACCGCCCCGCTGCCCTGCGGGTCAGGCTTTGGTTAACCTGAAGGTTCCGGTTCTGGAATCCTCAAGAAAATTCACCTGTCTGGTTTGGGCAACCTGGCAGTATTCAGTCCACATGGAACGCTTTTATTCTTTTAAAGATTATTGTTCCATGATTTGTTTGGTACACAGTCTGGGGTCAGACGTGTGATATATATATATATATATAACATTCGATTTGTTGAAATCACCAGCAATGATAGAGATAGTCTTTCCTTGCTTAACTGAAAGTGTTTCCAGGAATGTCTATAAATCACTTGAACTTCAGTCAGGAGTTACAAATAAATGATGATTGAACCATTATGCAAGAGAAAACGTAATTCACATTCTACAGTGATACAATAATTGTTTTGTTTACCATAAATGAATATGCATTTGATGGAACTACACCACAACTGGAGTACACGTATGATGACGGAACTGTCTTTTGTTTTTTTGCCTGGTGTCTATCCGCCATAAACAGATGAAAATTTTCCATTTGAACCCATTCAGATTCAACGGTCACACCTTGAGTGGTAAAATATCTCCTTTCGAGTAAACCAAGAAGGTCCGTATAATATAGCAAATCATCCCACACCTTGCAGCTGAGAGACCACCATTTGTCCAAATGCTTTGATCAGATAAATCTGATGCATCATCACAGTTTTGTGGCCAAAATCTGTGCACATTGCAAAGATTTGTTTGCGGTAAAATAATAAATTCAATTAGATTGACTCTCCGAGTGTAAATCAACAATCCCCCATTCTAGATCACTTGTAATAGATCAGTAATAGATCAGGAATTAGAACATTTGCCAAGGTGAACAGCTCAGGTTCCACGCTTCTCAGATTCCTATAACTTTCGGTGTTTTCACTGCCTTACGCACATCTTTGTACTGTCGCGCTTAGATCAGTTCACACAACCAGTTTACCTAAAAACTGAGGCTTGAGGAAAGTTTTCTATAGTTAACCCACTTCTTCTTCATCGTCCAATACAAAAAACAAAAGCATGCTAGATAATAAACGCATTACAAGCAAACTGTTCGACCAGATTGCATCCTTTCTCTTTTATCGAGTTAATTCAATATGACCTTGAAGTGAACGTTTAAGAAAGTGTTGATTATGGCGTGCGAAAGAACAAACAGCCAAGATTTTTCGACCAGATCCATTACCAGGAGAACATTCCGTTCGGCTTTGGTGTTTGACTACTCATATTCTAACAGCGACAACACATTCTGCGAAATAATTCTTGAACGGAAGTTGTGAAAAATCACACCCGGTTCCATTGCTTAGGAAAGTGAGGGATAGTGTGGAGGGAGTCGTAATAATTTAACATTCGAGAATGCCTAAGCGTTGTTATGATAAGAGCAATCAATATCTACAAAGAGAGTGTTTTTGATATCAGACAGCCAACTTTGGAACGCGTCAGAAGTCATTCATGCCTTTCTGGAAGAGGTATAACAACAGGGCAGGCTTTTGCCATCTGTTCGACGGCGAAATCAAGGGGTT